AACAAAACTTCCTGAGGGCACTCCTTGAGCTATATCAGGACATGCCGCTGGCCATACCAAACAAGGAGTCCAACGACATGGAGAGCTACCGCAGGTTGGAAGAAGTGAGAAGGTATTCCAACAAAGAGTTGAAAGTGAGCCGGGAGTTAATTGAAGTAGTCAGGAGACAGAAAGACTATGCAACACTGGGGAAGTTGAAGTCGTTCTAATACGTGTCTGGTATACCAGGAATGGCATATAATCCCTTTGTGAATGAGGAAGACAGGGAAGCGTACTTTGACTACGAACAAGTTGTGGTACTTGGTTTCTGGGTTGAGCGGGTCAAGGAAATTGGCATGTTAATGATGGAACAACCCAAGCTGGGAATCGTTTTGGAAGAACGAGTGGTTGAACCCTCGGTTCCCGAGCTGAAGGGGCAAGTGAGTTTTGATTGTGGTTCTTGGGACAGTCCCTTGAAAACCAGCTTAGTAACCATGTGGGAACTCATGAAGCCTTCTTGGTGTCCACATCCAAACGCCGGTTTAATCTGGGATATGACGGCAGATATTACGTTGGACTTGGATGATGACGCGAGTTTACACGATTTGGCCATGATACACCATCTGCTGGCCATGGGAGTAACGAAGCAGAAGAACAACCCATCCACGGGACCATCCGAAAGAAGTCCATCGAGTGACTGGCTGAGACAGGGCACCTGTCTAGCTCACAGTAGTGGAACGGACGGACATGTGTGCAACTCGGAACATTGCTTGATTACGCTGAGCGAGGAGCATCGCCAATTGGCACAATTGTATGGGAGGTTGAGCATGTCGGATAAGAGTGGAATGGAGTTGATCGCGGACTGTCATGGTGTAACGGAAGTAAACTTGATCACTGCCTTGGGATTTTGCAGCATGACGAGCTCGATAGAATCACTGGAGCGCCTAGAGCGTGCCCATGGGCTAGTGACGTCCCTCAGTGTGGAAGAATTCCCTGGAGCACTGCAGACAGAGCAAAAGATTGGAGACTGGCGAGAAGCCCTGGAAATCGAAATGAATTTGAAGAATAGTGAGGCCTATCATAGACCTACTGGCTCGAAATATCTGGTGGGTTCGGGCTCCGCACCATATTGCAATAGTACGTATCCTACGCACATGGTGGTGATGGACGCGAGGACGCAGCAGGTGTTGGTTGACCAACTCTTCTCTGTGCCAAAGTGCGTGAGGTTGGCCAGAATGTCGGAAAGGTCGTATGATTTATTGGCAAAGATCATTCGGGCCGTCCCGAAGAGATCTGAAGGCGAGTTGCAAGACGTAGTGGGTGAAGAGTTCATGAGATTGAACGAGGATAATGTGAGTGAATTCCAGAAGCAGAAAGCGAGTGGAGCGTTACCCACTGAATTCCCCACCATAGAAGAAAAGGACGATGTGCATAGAATAAAGATGGAAGTGGAACCGTTGCTGGGAGCCTCAGGGTATCGGACCCGAAGGAACATACTAATGACCCATGGGGAGTATCCTTTTCACTGCCTGGCGCAGACGTTATGGTACCCCAAACGTTGGAATCTGGTGTTAGTGTGGGACGTGGAAGAGTTATACTCCACGGAGTTGCCCGATCAGAATCAGCAAGTGTCAATAGTGGTGGTTAGTGCCATGCTGGTGGTGAGATGGTTAGAAGCTAACGTGGGCACAAGTGAGCAGGAGACGGCCGTGCCGACACCTGAGCAGCTAAGCAACGTAAAGGTGAACCGCAACCTGGATCTTTTCAGAACCACCTGCAAGGTTCTGAGAATACCCAAAGCCATTGAAAGAATATGGTCAAGGCAAAGATTGATGCTTTGGTTCCGTGCAGTGATGACATCATGGATGTATGAACGCGCGAAGCGTCATATGTCTATGAACACGGAAGCCTATCAATCCTTCCAGCTAGGTATAGGACCGGGAGCCTATAAAAGAGCATTCTTAACGCACAGAAACGTTGTTACCACGGCGGTGAAGCGGGTAGCTGGAGCACCTTGTGTTACGTAAACTGAAAAGAAAGATGTCTTACGAGCTGACCTAGAACGGAATGTGAGCCTGTGTCTTCACAACAGTTTTTGCAGGAACCGGGAGCAAAAGGTGAACATGGGCTTGCTACCTTGCTGCAAACCGAGGCTGTTAGAACAGGAGAGTTGGGGGACGGCCCGCAACTCCATGAACATGTTGGAGAAAGTTCTGGAAGACAGTGAAACTGAAGAGCAAGAACAAGAAGCAATGGAATGAGGAAGATGGAACGAGGAAGAAAAGTGAAGACGTAAACAAGAAAGGGAGAGAAGTAGAAAAACTTGATTGTCTTCGTGTGCAAAAACTTAAACTAATCAACTAAGTTTGATTATTGAAGTTGTTAAACTTTTTGTTTTGATTTAGATTGGTCAGATCAAACTTTGAAAATTGTTGCAATTGCTGAAACTGTTGAAAGAAAGTTATAGTTGTGCTCTTTATGTATATATATATATATATATATATATATATATATATATATATATATATATATATATATATAGAACATAGGTGAAAATATTTACCTATTTAAACACGACTGATGTTCTTAACCTGTGTAGGACACGTGTTCACTGTGTGGCGATCTGGCAAGTTTGGGTAAGCTCGCTCGAAGAGGGTGAGTACCTCAATAATTTTTCTAGCCACAGAGTTTCTTAGTTTTAGTATTAAGGACGAGAGCATAAATAACTGATTATACTTGGTGAGTGACGTTAAGTTAATTTTAACGGGTGCGTGGCCGTGACACGTCCCAATTTTTTAATTAGCTAGAGCGAAAAGAAGTTTTATGGCAAGATGTCGTAAATAGTCAGAAAAGAAATTTTTATCTAGGACAATCCTCATGGTGCAAATTTTGTGAAAATGTTGAAAGGCAGTGAGATGTAGTATGATGCCATTTGTGACACGTAGTGAGTTGAGGTGGAGTAGATAAATTTCATTTTCTAATGCCATTCGTAAGGTTGATTATAGAGAACTGGAACACTACATGACGATAACCCGGTGTTATGCGATAAATAGGGACATTGATGGGAACTGTCCGGGGAGTATGTGCCATTCTGCCAGATTGGCACAGCGCAACCTTCCGGCGAAGCACGAATTAGCGAGAAAAGGCCTTGACGACGAAAAAGTGCTTGAAAGGAGGGTCGAAATATTCTGGAAGATTCAATTTTTCAAAATTTCGATTAACGAGCGAGTATTTCTCAGAAAAACGAAAAACGGCCATTTTGACCGAAAAAGTTGAGAAAAAAACAGAACAACAGAAAATCAAGTGGAAAACAGTCACACAAAAACACGGAAAAACGAAGCCTCTTTGTAACATTCGCCCAGAAAATACATATCGACGGAAAATAAAGCTAGGTTCTAAGACGACTGGCCAACGTCTAAACAGAGCTTTACATGCTTTTCACCGTCTCTACCAAGCCAGTTCTTTTGGTGGTCTTTCCAACATCGGGTCGACAAAAACGTTACTGATCTCCGGCTTCGACCAGAACGCTCAAATTAACTTAATTACATGCAGAAGTAGTAAGCTAATGGCTGGGTCTCAGTATCCCCAGACCACGAGGTCACTCCTAAAATCAGGGCTACTACTATTTATTGAACTATTATTGTTTTTGTTCAGTAGATAAAAATCATCATCTCCATCGAAGATGGATCAACCCTTTCCCCCATTTCCTAGCTTCTCATCCTAGCAAAATGATTTCAGATGTTAATTAATTTCAATTTAGGACATAATAGGGAAGCTAAAAGTTTATGTAAAATGCTATGAGTTTCAGTCCAGAGACCCCTCCGGATTCTTGAATCCGGGGAAATAAGACTCTTATTTTCCTTCCGGAAGGCTGTCTTCTACCCTTCACCGTTGTTCGCAACGGCCTTGCAAATATTGTAGCGACACAATAGTTGCAACTCGGAACGGTCTCTGCTATTTCTGCTCGTCTCTAATTCCGATTCTCAGTTTTTTCGTTGTTCTCGTCGCAACTACTGTGGTTGTTGTTGTTGTGTTTTTTTTCGGTTTTCTGCCAAAATGGTCGTTTCTGACGTTTCTCAGAAATATGACGTCATACTTCGAAAATTTAAAAATTTGAAACACCAGAACATACTAGCCTTCGCCGTTTGGCTAATCGTTCCAATAACACCGCTAATCCTCCAAAACCGCTAATTCGGAAGGCTAGCTGCTAAAATTTCGAATCTGCATTTTCGTCCATTCTGGTCGAATGTCACACTTATTGTGACAGTCACGCAAGATAAGATCCTTAGTGAAAGAAGATAAGTGGGAAAGGAGGCTTCGGTGGTGGAGAGCAGTACCCTCCCGTACCACGAATTGAGAGTGATAACAACGTTATCTCGAGGAGAACACGGAAGCGGAGGCTCGGTCCCTCAGAGACTGATCAATGGTGGAAGACTATAGTAAACTAACTTTTTAGCTACTCTGATGCCATAAAACTTGAATTAACACCGGTATTGTTGGATATTTTAGAATATGAGTAGCTTGGAAGAGGAAAGGGTCAATCCATCTCCAATAGATTTAATATAGAACTGTCACCAAAAACATAGTAAAATAGGTTAATCGAGCCGTGTTTTTAATAGCAATCACGTAGTCTGAGGATCCGAGACTCAGCTATGTGGTTGTGTTCGCATGTAAACGAAAGCGGATCAAAAGTCGTTTGACTGATGGCCTCAAAATAGTAACTTTTTACTTAGCCCTAAACAGACCAGAAAATCAACTGGCAAGGTCGAGACGGTGAAAAACGAGTAGAATTAAGGTAACTGACGTCTGCCAGTCGTTAATAGGTACTTTTTCTACGCTCCGTCACTGTGTAGTATTTGGGCGAATGTTACAATAAAAAACCTACCAGCCCTGTAATTGGGTGCTGAAATTACGAACCCTGTAATTGGGCGCTGTCAGAGTACATTCAAAGGATGCAGATCTTTTTTCCAATGTATGCGGTTTTGTTGATTCGTCAAAAATTAGAAGCACCGGAGGTGTGTTACACGCTAGTATGATTGATTTCAGGTAGGTCTTATAGGTATTTGAGAACAACCTGAAAAAAAAAAAGAGCAATGATTCTAAATGACAACTATGAGCCGCTCTAGTTCAAACGAGCATCATCGGGATACCTCAGAAGAATGTAATTCTAGCTCACTTGAACAGCTATGTCAAGTGGCTCTCCACGAGCCGCGAGCAATTCAGACTAACGGAAGCAATCACAATGTCTTTGACAATGGATCAAATTACGTCATGGTTCTCTCTAGTAGTCAAGTTCCAACTGTTGTTGATACTGCTCACAGAACAGCAAGCAGTTCTCAAGGCAATTTGTTGACGAGTTTACAAAATCAATATGGTAACTTAACGTTTGTAAATTCGCTGAAGGCTGAATCAGTTCCAGGTGCCATTGAGGTAAAAACTTCTTCATTTAAGCTAATAATGCTTTTAAAATTTTAAACTGGGTTTGGTTTGTTTGTTGAAGGGCACCATCCGCGAAATTAACTCCAATACTCACGCTGAGTTGTACACAGAATCTTTTCAAGTCACGTAAGTCCTGAAAATTATGAATCAAGTGAATCTTTTTCTTCATCTGTACTGACTACTACAATTTCAGGGATCCCATACTAGAATACAATAGAGATCAGAGGTCCCCAACGTTTCCTCAACAGGCTAGTCGACTTAAATTTTTGTTTAGAAGGTCATCGAAAAAACTTTTTCATCCTAAGGCCAGGTACGCTAGTGGGCAAAGTCATGTTTTTACGCTTCAAAATTTCTATTTTCAAGAATGGTTTACAGAACAAAAATTGTTTGATTTAAAAGTAAATTTTAACATCAACTGAGAGGAAACAGTTTGGGAAAATCGCAATGTACTTATAGTTAGTTTTAAGGTTTTTTCTGGATTTTTTTGAACCAAAGTTTTCACCTTGTGCATTTGTCCACACTCACTGCTCGTTTTCTTGCTAAACATGTTTCACCTCGCATTTACAATTTTATTTGGAAAACGTGCTAACGGCAGATAATGAAGCGTAGTTATTCTCCCAGTCAATAAGGAATTCTAAGAAAATGTTCTTGAAAACTGACATTTTATTTGGTAAAAACCTAAATTCGTGTTTATTTTTGTCCACTAGTGTATAATTACCCTTGCGATAAGCAAGGATATTACAATCGACTACTAGACTTTTTTTACCGTAAACAAATTGGTCCACTGAATCTTCATTTCTAAAGGATCTTTCATCTTGCAAATTTGAATTAAATTACTATCACTCAAGTAGTCGTTAGTTCAAGCCCGTTTCAGGTTATATTATTTTTTCAAAAAACTTTCTTGATTTTTTTGTGTACGTGGTTTTCGTCCTAGTGTCTGTCGATTCATTTTTTTGGTTTTTTTAAAACGCCATGTTTTTATCTGGTTGGATTTTATTGGTTTACTATTCAAAGCATGGGTTTTGTTCCAATTTAAACAGTTCACTACAACTGAAGCTTCACAAATTTGTAAATTTACCATGTCTGATTTGGAGTTTATTTTTCCGTTTTTTTAATTATTCAAACAGTTTCAGCTGATGTTATATCGACTTATATATTGTTATATCCGTATCGGATTGTGTTTCAGTTGGATGGGTCATAAACACTTATCAAATGTTATGAAATTTTTTATGACAACAGTTTTGTTTTCGGCTCAACAGATTTCGTCGCAAAGTTTGTTGCCTTTCTTGCCGCTCGGTTAATGATTTCCTCTTTTTAAGGGATGTTAATGAACGTCATCCGATACATATATATATATATTTTTTGTTGCGGTAATTTTTCTACTTTTGTCAAGGTGTTTTTTCAAGTAATTTTTTCGAACATCATTTTTCAGAATTTTTTACTTGTATTTTTATTCTCTATTTTGTACCGCAATGTGTGATTTGCTTTGCTTCGCCTCTGTCTCTGTGTAGGTTATGTTTGTTTCCATTAAATAACTTTGTTCACAGGATCTCCAATTTTAGTTGATCTTTCGAGCTGTGCTTAAGATAATCTACTGAATTAATTTGAGCATGTCATTTATTTAATTAACCGTTTTATTCAAAAGTTGTTTTTATGTTGGTTGTAAATTTACCAGCTGCGATTTGCTGAGTAAACATGAAAATTGTTGTAGGTCAAGTTTTTTTCGACGTTTCTATCATGTTTTTGAAAGCGGGTTTTGCTTCATTTCATGCGAATTAATTTGTATTGCTACATTTCTATTGTATCGCATGCAATGCGAATGTCTGCTTCGTCTCTGTGTTTCCACTTGCCATTAGCAGGCGCTTTCAAATTGAGATATAGACTTTTATTTTTCAGGTGAAAAATTCTTAAACAAAGGCAGTTGACTCATTTCATAGATTAGATTTTGATCAATTGTTTTTCTGAGCTTCTCCGGCACACGTGGTCTAAAGGTAGCGAATACGCCTTGATGTGCATAGAATCCAAGATGGAATTTGCCCAGGACTTGTTTTTTTTGGGCTGATCAACTGGAACTATTCATTTTCAACAAATTGTCATTCTATTTCTTGTCTGCTGAGTTTTGGTCGGCTTAGTTGCCACGTCACAGATTTTTTTTAGTGCTGCCAATGTTTTTATTGAAAGTAAGTCTCATTGATTTATTTCTTTAAGTTATAAGTTTACCCAATTTTGTTAGTTTTTTTGTTGTTTTCTTTTTTCGCATAGAAGCTTTATTTGGCCTAATTGGTTTCGGCGTATGTTTAATTGGCTTTTAGACTCTGTTTGGCGTCGTTCGAAGGGAAAATATATTTTTATTCTGTGTTTCCGGAGGAGTAAGTAGCATTAAACTTGCAAAAATGTTTTCGTGACAACGATTTTTTTCTTGCGGGCTAATGGGTGTTACCCTATTTCTTTCGGCTTATTTACGACCCGATAAATTTTTCTGAACTGTTTTGAATGCCGGCAATTGTGTTTCTTCAAATTGATCATCCTTTCATGCATAAGTTTGAAATTTTTGTCGTTGTTTTTTTATTTTATTATTTTTTATTTTGTCTGCCAGCTTGGACTGATATTTTTGTGGGATCGCAAGTGGCGCGAAGCTCAGCTTCGCCTCTTTGTTACGGTTGGTAAAACGTGTACTATTAATTTTCACAATCTATCGCCCTCCTTAAATATAAAATAGTAGAAAATTCAGAGAAGTGTTTTTCTAATGGAACTTCGGTCATTTTTTGGTAATCGTTGTTCGATCGACTGTTTATCACATGTTTTACTCGGAAAATATGAGTCTTGCATAATTTTTTAATTAAAGTATTCGTCAATAACTTATTTTCAATCGTTTTTTCGCTTTCTTTTCTATCAAGCTTGAAACGGTGAAATTTCGTGATTTATAAGGAGTGAGTGATAAGCTTCAAGCACTATCAGTAAAAACTTTTTTTTATATACGTGCGAGAGCATGTGTCTTGCAATCGGGTACTAGACTTTTTCCCGTGTATACTTCTTTTCCGTACTAGAGTTTTTTTTCATGACTACATTTTTTTGGCTTTTTTGTTTCTTTTCCTTTTCTTTCGGCTGGGATAGGTTTTGGCATATTTTATATCGGTTTAATGGCCATGATGCGACTTTTGACGAGCGGAAAAAATTGTTTGAGGGTGAGGGGGACATATTAACTCAAGTCTTGTTGATGTTTTTTGGCTTAAGGGCTTCTGTCAAGATATTTTTTGGCTTTTTTTATCGTTTGGTAAGTTTTCTTCCGATGCTTATTTCACATTCCATTGTCTTGGCATGTTTTTTTAAAATTCAAAGTCTAGCCTTTTATTTTTTGTTAGATCTATTTTTTCTAGTAGATCTATTGTTAGATCTAGTTTGTAAGTTGTTCGAAGCGCAGCTTCACCTTTGTGCACATTTTAATTGAATTTCATGTTGCTGCCCCATTACGATTTTTAGCAACTTTCAGGCGCCTTCTCACTTGGCTTGGAGGTAATGCGGTTACCTTTGCACCGTATTGTCTGCGTTTCGAGTTCAGGCCGAACCTTGTGTTTTTCGATGTCTGAAATTGAAAATTTTTTGGAAACAGTTTGTTGGCTTAGTTGCCACACTTCGATACTTTTTGCGCTGTCAGCAGTTTTCATTGTAGTCTCAAGTGTCGTTGATTAACTCAACCTTAATCAGCCTATATGGTTCGGCTTGTGCGTTGTTGGTTTAGTGAACTTATTTTACAGCTTGCGGTTAGCAAGCGTTATCAAACCGGAATTTAGACTTTTTTCGGGTTATCAACTAGTTTTACAGAATCACTTGAATCAAATTACCTTGGTTCATATGAAATCAAAAGTCTGACGCGATTTTGCTCATGTGGCCTAGAGAGGATGCTCCTGCCTATAAAGACAAAAGTCAATAATTCGACTCCGAGCAGAACCTGTTTTTTTTTTAAAGCGGAAAATCTTTATCGGACTTCTATTTTTCTGATTTTTTGTCGGCTTAGTTACCGGAGCACCAAATATGCCTAACTCTTGGTCATTTTTTAGTCGAGGATAAAGCATTACAGTGTATTCGGGTTTTGGACTAGTAATTGAGTTCCAAGAAATTATGCCGAACTTTCTGCTATTTTTTGATTTTTTCTTGCCGTTCATTAAAATTCTTGAAAATTATTTCTTTTTTAAATTCAAGTACTTTTCTGCGCATTTACAGCAGTAGTAACACCCATGCTTGAGACGTCAAATGCCTGAAGTTCGATTTCAGTGGGATTCGAATTTTCGACTATTCTAGACCTTCGTCTTTTGCTAATTTTATCGGCTTAGGTCCCGTATAACGGCCCGGTTCTTTTTAGAAAGCTTTTTGTAAAGTTTCAAATTGTGGAGGTAATTTTTTTAGGAGAATTTTTGTCCGTTTTTTCAATTTTTGATTTGACTTTCCTTTAGCTGGTTGGTAATCATAGTCATACTTTTTTGTATTACAAGTGATGCGAAGTTCCGTTTCGCTTCTGTGCAAATAAGTTAGGCTGTTTTTAGTATAAAAGTTAAAAATTCAAACAATTTAATCGCTCAAAATTTCATTGACAACAATTTTTTTTGATAATTGGGATCAGTGGGCGTCCAACTCGGAAATTAACAAAAGCTTGATTAATGCTAATGGTTGTTTTTCTGAAATTGATTTTTTCGTATTTCCAAAAAATTGTTGAATTTTTTCGACTTTGTTATTTCCGTCTCATTTTCTATTTGTGAGATTGCAATGCTTCGCTTTCGTTGTATCTATTTAAAAAATTATGATTTTCCCCCTCTAATCTGTTTTGTTTTTCGTGCACATCTTTGTATTGATAAATTGTTCAATGGTGCGAATTCTTTAAATTTTTAATTGGTTTTTGTATTCTGTCTTGATTTGCTTCTGAAAATTTAGTTACCAGATTTTGAAACGTTTTTCCCCCATTTTCCAAGTTTTTGATTTCTTCTGCTGTCAAACTTTGGTTTCATTTTCCTCCCCTCTCACATAAGCTTGAACGTTGATGTAACAAGTGGTTTTACGGAGTTAATTATGCTTTGCAAATACGTTTGAAAAGCGTAATGTGAGCAGTTTATTGCATTGAAATCAATTTGAAACAAGGATTGGAGTCGGAATGAATGTTTGCTTGTATGATTTACTTTAAATAATTTTCGATAAATTTCTACAATACGCGCTTTCTGTTTTTTAAAACATGTTTCTGTACCGCAAGTGGTGCGAAGCTACGCTTTGCCCTTGAGTGTAATTTACCTGATACTGAAATGGTTATTTCAGTACCGTAAAACCCGAGATTTCACTCCTGATGATCTTAAGGACGAAGGCTACTGGATAAAACGCCGCAAAAATAACGAGGCGGCAAAAAGGTCTCGCGAAAAACGCAAAACTAACGATGCCGCCCTGGAGGCGCGTGTTGCAATTTTGGAGCAAATGAATGAAAAACTGGGCGAAGAAAACGAAGAACTGAAAAAGTGCCTCGCTGCTGCTAACCAAAAAATTAAAATGCTGCGAAACGAAAGGGACAGACAAAAGTATTCTAATAGTCCACTTGAATCGGTCAATGATATGCAAACTGATGGCACTACTTTCAACATCGATAGGCCTTTAAAGCGAAACAACGCGTCTCAGAATCCGCCCTTGTTCTACATACAAAACCCCCAGAGAGCAAAATACCCATCGGCTGTAGAACAGATCGATCTAAGTGAACCAATAGCCACAAACCATGGTGTCAATAGGCTAAAATCTGGGCCGAGAACAACCCAATACAGTGAGCAGATATCGCGCTCATTTGCGATCGAACAAAGCCCGTCAGCGGGAATAATACCCTCGGCGAATCCTACGATAATTAAACAGTCAGTCAATAGAGCGAGTCAAGCGTCCAATCAGCTTTCAGCTGCTACCCGAGCACCTCGAAATTCTATTATAGTTCCAATTCATCAGCTCTCTAGTTTAGGTGGATCGCAGGTGACAGCAGCGAACCAACTTAACAATGGTTCTCTGGTACAGCAAACTCAAAACAGAAATCCTATTGTTTACTTGAACACAGGCTGTGGAGTCATGCCGTTTAATACGTTTCTACAGACACAGCCAGCTGTCAATCAAGATGTCAACTCTAGTGCAAATCTGAAGCACCACGAAATAATGTTCCACCCAGAAGATCAAGCAGGTCTTGTTAATTCTTCTGGCGAATTGAGTGACGCAGCTCTCGAAGAAGCATGTAAGACTATGATAATTCAGCAGCAAGACCCGGATGGCTCTGTTGTGAAGACTGGAACCCTAGTTTCCATGAGTACCCCTATCGACCATATCATACCTCTGAAAAAGAGAAAAGACGGTTAGTTGTTTTTCGCCCTAGCTATTCTTATGGAGGGACCGAAAGATGGAAAATTTTGAACCAATCAGAATCGTTAAACGCTAATCGCTGAATGGTTTTTGCACTAAATCTAAGTTAATTTTATCAGAAACCGAAGTAAGGTTAAATTTTGCTAAAAAATTTTTGCAGATGTGGAGTAAATTTTTGTTTTACTTTTCCAGTTTTTAAAATCGGTATCCTTTTAATAATAAGGTTATTTCAAATGCGTTTTAGATCTGAGACTATATAAAAATTCTTCTTTTTTTTTGCTAAATTTGCAATCGGTCAAATGAGTTGTGATGGCCTGAATTTATTTGCCTAATTGAAACTTTCGCGATTTCTGAATACTCAAAATAACCGAAAATAAATTTCCAACAATCGGTCCGTCCATCATGAGGAACGCCACTGTTTTTCGCTGCTTCACATGATAATGTTCATAAAACTTTTTTTCTGAAATGACTACGCAATGTTCCAAAAGTCTTCAACATTTACAGTATTTTCATAGTTCGAAAGATGATATGAGAATTTTGGAAGTAAAAAAATCAAGAATCGAAAACACTAAACAAGCGATGTAAAATTCATATTGTGATGTTAACGAAAATTATGGTTGTAGTGGTTGTCTCAAATAATAGTTTCAATATTATGACTGTTCAGATGCAAACAGTGTCTCTGAAGACCAATCTCCTGGCAAGTTCAGCCAGCAACCTTCCTCGGTGGGCAACCCAGAGATGCAAAACATGCATATGACACCTGTCACAACCCCCGCTCCATCCACCACACACCTTCATATACACCGTACAGGAAGAAATAATGCTGTAAATGAATCACCAATAGACTCAGGCGTCGAGAATGACTCCAGCAGCAACCCGGAATACTGGAGGGCTCAACTGATAACTATAATGAGCGAAGTTGAGAGACTCAAAACCCAAATGGGCTCAATAACACAGCAGAGCTCACAGCAAACCCCGACACAGCCAGTTAGCAGCCAGAGCGCACAGATTTTTGACTCGGGCCAGCCGCAATCGAACCAGGTTATGACGTCATCTGCGCCACCAGCCATTCAAAATGCCACAAGCCATCCACAGCTAGTAGTGATGCAACCAATGGGAGTTCGTACTTCATCGATGTCAAATTTGGAAACCACTCCGACTAAATCGCCAATGATGCTAAATCAAATAGGAAGTGACGCTAGGACGGACTCTCCTCTCACATCGAATAATTCTTCTACCGGTGAAAACTGATCGAAAACAAAGGATCCATTCTATGTTAGAATGGCCTCCTTAATTTAATTTTGTACAGAAAACTTATTGATAAAAAGGAAGAAACGAGACTGCAAAAATGTCTTTTTACCAGCTGAGCTGTTGCACCGCAAAATTTTGTTGATAAACTTTAAATTCCTATGAGTTATATACTGTTTATGTGTTGAATGTCAATTGTTTTCTGACTTCGAAAGTCATTCAAATCATTAGAATTAATTTATTTTCTTCATTTTTTTTCATCCCTTGTTATAATTTTTATTCTTACGACCATTTGGAAAGAGTGGGAAGGAACTATGGCCTAGGTTGCGACTTTTTCACGCCCTTTCAGTTACCCGAGAAAGTTCGCTAGGTATCACGTCTGGTATCATGTTGAAGAAAAGAATATTAATTCATGTTTCCATAAATTCAGGTTTTGAGAAAAACATATATTATGTAATCAGACACTTGACCTCTGAATGAAATTGACTGGATGAGCAGGAAGTAATAATCTCTCAATATGCTTTAAGGTAATTGAAGTAAATTAGAACTGTATTTTTTTTAAAATTCGATTATTTTCTTGATGGTTGTGAAATCTAAGAATTGCAAGTTTTTTTAAGTGTTACTATGGTTGCAAAATTTTCGGTAGCAAGTAACGCAAGTAAGGCCAAGTGAATTATCGCTTACTAGCTTATAGCCATTTTTGGCCCGGTACCTGAACTCGTAAATCAAATTTTAGGAATCGGTCAAATAAATAATTTTATCTAAAATTGATGTCCGGCTCCCAGATCAAAATTAAAAAACCAAATTCTTTGATTGACAAAAGGGCAAAAAATTCCATGTTACATGGTTGTTACTTGATGACCCAAATTAAAAAGAACAGATACCACAAATTTATTGCTAGCCGTCGCTATATTCATTTTGTTCGCCGTAATTGTTCCGTGTGTTATTTTTTCAGCGCAAATTCAGGTACCATAAATAATCATCAGAATGGGTCTAGTGATATACTAAATTGAAGCCCTTTCAGTCGGAATATTAAATTTTCAAAAAATTATCGAGTATTTTATTTTTTTGTTTCTAGTCAATTTTCAGCATCGAATATTTTATGTTTTTGTTTCTAGTCATTTTTCGAAATCTGTTCTCCAATTTGCCTGTTAATATGACTGTCGAATATGCCTAAATTCTAGTTTTACGTCAGATCCTTTTATCACACCACGCAGAAAAAAAATACACCATTTTGAAAAAAAACGGTGTCTTTTTTCGTATTTTTTGAAGACTATAGTCGCAACATTCTGTGCTACTTGTACAGTAACCGGCTATCCCTGTTTCAATTGCATTTCAGCTCTTGGTAACGCGTGGAACAGATAAATCTAATCCTGATTAAATGGTTTAACGTTCATTGTTTGTTTAAGTAAACCATCAGCACTAATTACTGGTCCTTACCTGCAAAAACCACGAACTTGTAAATGACAGTAGACATGGAGCGGGCTGAAAAATTTTCACAGAATGTCAAATTAGTGTGGGAAACTAATAAATGTCAGAATAGTCAAATCTTCCTTGCATCAAAAGAAAAGCTCAGAAGAAGCAAACTGTCTTTGTTGGTGTAAGGTCGATCTTTTCAACTTTTTTTCCTTAAGATTTAGTGTTTTTATTCTCCACTCTTCATCGCGCAACATCATCCAATATTTTTCTCACCTTTTTGTCTAAAATATTGCTACTCACGGCTCACGCTGAAGATGCGCTGCCTCAAAACTAAAAAAAAATCATTCTAGCACAGAAATAAGCGATTCACAAAGGACAAAAGTTAGGTTTACTGTTTAAGCTTCAGAATGTTCAGACTGAGCAATGAGGCAAGATTAGTGATTCTGAAACAAAAGATAAAGAGTCGCTTTCAACATACTTTTTTTCTGAAAGTTTTTCAATGCTTATTGCACAAGCAAAAAGCAAAGCTTGTGCGTTAGTGTGAGTTCTTTTTTTCCAACCTAAGTCACAAATGTTAGAGTTCATTTTGAAATTGTTCTTTTATTGCAGTATGTGCATAAGATCAATGAACAGCTCTTAAGTACATCTAATGCTAAGGATATTAACACAGACTATTATTTCACAAAAATATCACTATAGCTTCAATGTATCATGAATCTGTAGCGTAGAGGTAGGGAAGGAGACTCACAACAAAATAAGAAAGTTCGAACCTGGGCATGGTTGGATGTTTTCAATGAATTTTTCGTATACACGTTAAAATGCGTCCGCTCTATAAATTGAGACATAAAAATTGGTAAATTTCTTTGTTCAAGATGACTGGTACTGCTAATGCGTCATAATTGGCTTGCGTCACTTAGCATTTATGTAGAATCATAAGTAAATTATCTAGACTTAAAGTTTTACTCATTCAGTGTTTCCTTCTCAGTAGTGTTACCGTTCATATTTTTGCTTTGCTTGTGTGTGCGAAGTGCAACTTCGCCTCTGTATCTACACTTATTCTTAGATTTTTTAAAGTATTCTTACTATTTTCTCGTTTGAGTATTCAAAGTACAACTTCTTGTCGATGCAAGAAAAACCATTATTTCAAGCACGTTTTTTTTTGTATTTCATGGAATTGTTTGGGTATTCTAATTAACATCAGTTATATTTTCTCTTAATAGAAGTTCGTTGAACCAACCAATAGTTATCTAGGAGAATATCAATAAAACTCACCTCTGTATACTATAGGTACGCTTTAAATTGTCTAAATGTTTGTTGGATCTATATTTTTTCAATGTTTTAAATTTTTTTTCGACTTTTTTTTATATATAAATGTTTGTCTTGTATTTTCAATGTTTGTGTTGTATCGATTGTGTAAAATCAATTAAATAAAATAATGATGATAAGACAAGCCGGCCGTGGGAGCTAAATTAAAAAACGAACAAAGACAGCCGGCTACTGTACAAGTAGCACAGAATAATCCGATCATTGTCTTAAAACAAAACAAAAAAGTTTTTGTTTCAAATTAGTGTCAACTTTTCTGCGTTGTGTGATAAAAATATCTGAACAAAAATTTAGAATTTAAGCATATTCGACATTCATAATAAAAAAGCCAGTTGGAAAACATTTTTTTTCCCTAGAAAAATGACTAGAAAAGCTAAAAAAAAATCGTTAAAAGTTTTTTTTTTGGTTCTCAAATTTCTTTTTGGTTCTCAAAACTCCAAAAACGACCTTTACTCGTGTAAGTTTAAGTTTTCCCCTCCTAGATTAAGCACATTTAAGCTTTTGTAAGTCTGTCTAGCCTCACCTTATTCGCTTAAAATTAAACCAAAAATCAAAAATTTCAAACTAGTTTTTCTCGACACTGCAATTTTTTTTCAAAATTTTTAGATGTCGTTCGAATTACGACTGAAAGTGCTTGAATATGATATAACACTCGACTCATTCCAATGATTGTTTGCCGTACCTGATTTTGCGTGGGAAAAAAACTGAAACACCCGAATACAAAGTTCCTCCACATTTTGCAAATGGTCGAGCAAAAATCTAGCGCGATAAAGACTGAATTAGCAAGTTTTCCGAAAATTTCAGGAATTTTCCGACGTTTAGGGGGATGAACGGAACCATAATAGCTACGTGTAAGACGGAATAATATAAACTATTTAGTGGGAGGAAGTTTGAATTCGTGTGCCTTTTTGCGACCAAATTCGGGTTTTACGGAAACACGAACTTTAGTGGTATACTTACTACATTTAAGGATATTGCCTCGACTGTTTGTTAAGTTATAAGCTGTTGGTTACTAGAAATTTAAGCTTAGTTTCAAGTTTTTGGGTTACATTAGTTGAAGGCACCCTAAGAAAATTTTTGTCCGACAAAAAGGGGTGTAAAATAGAACCAAAGGGAGTGAGGGTTTGAATTGTTTGAAGGGGAGCATCAGCTTCTCTCTCTCTCTCTCTCTCTATCTATCTATCTATCTATCTATCTATATCTCTCTAAATCCACTAGTGGCACAGGATGTCAAGTTTGATACAAAAAGTTAGAGAACTGCAGAAATTTGTTGAATAATTTGTTGCAGAAATTTGCAGAAATCTGTTGAATAATAATCACTTCGGTTTGACTAAATCAGGTTGAAAAGGTAACTTAGTTTCTCGAATGTTGATGTCGAGAAACACGATGAAGCAGTCAGTCATAACTGATGCTCCTGTCAACAAAGTTTCTAATTTAAGTCAATTTTGTTCTTTAAAAATAAGACGTATAGTGCAATATGAGTTAAATAAGTTTCTAGTTATTCTGAATGATGGCTTTTGCCGATCCGCTAAATCAAGTTATTGTAATTGATGCATCAATTGCCATGAACTGCGATATTATTGAACAGTTAAGCTGTCTATCAACAATTTCTGCTGCAATAGTTCACAATTATGGACAAATAGGAGTTCTGAAGCTTCAAACAGTGTCTGAATTTTCAGCAAATGAGAAGGAAATCAGGCAAATATCGCAATTTGTTGAAAGAAAAATTGAACAGCAGCCAATCGATCCCAAGGGCGGTATTAATTTCAAAAAGATCGAAAGGTCGAAAAGTTCGGTCCAAAAAGTGTCGAAAGTCAATTCAAGTTTCGTTGCGCCAGAATCTCCTGGAATAACTAGTTTAAACTATTTTCATAGATTATCGAAACCGGATATTTCTGGTCTGGTGGGGACGTTCCAAGACTTCAAAACCAAACAGAAGTTTCATCAGTGTACGTTTTGCAACTACCAATCACCTCACTCGAGTACGATGAAGAGACACGAGGAACTCAAGCATCTACCACAGACTATAAGTTACAACTGTCTGCAGTGTTCCTCAACATTTAGACAAAAATCCAATCTGAAAATCCATTACAAGGGAGTTCGTGGACTCCTAGAGCCTGAAGCTAAAGCAATGATGCCGTGATTAGAAAAAAAGCTTGTGTTTGTGATTTTTTTTGTCAATTTTATCTTCATAGAAATTAAGTGTTAATGCGCGAAATGAGTTTTTGTTCAGATCGCTGAAAGTGTTTTTCGACACGAAATGAAGCGAACAATCATTGGAATGAGTTGAGTAATGAGTCATTAAAACTTTTTTCGTGATTGGAACTATATTAAATAATTCCAATTGTTTTCTTAATTTCGAGGAAAACGGTTTGTCCGTGAAAGCGTTTGTAGTTTCTGTTATAAGCGATTTTAATAGGGCGATAGGGTTTTGGTTAAGCTTTGAAAGCGCTTGATGTTTCTGTTA